AACTGTTGAGAAAACTTGCAGGAAAGAAAAAGGCAAAAACTAGTTCACACCTGAGCAGGCGTTTATTCTGTTGAACTGACTATAGTCAGCAGCCGTCTCAACATGTGGAACTGTGATGACCGGGTTCTTGCTTTTAAAAGGTTCACAATGCTGCTTTCCACACAGGCAGGGTTTTTCCATGTAAGTTGGAACAAGTCGGTCTGGTAGTTGTTCTTTTTTTTGATTACAAAGTGATGATAACATCTCTCTTGTAGACAGGCTTTACTCATCAAAACCGCTGCCTCCACTGGCTTTTAATTGGATCCTTGTGAGGTGGGTCAGGCCCATAGACATTCTTATCCCCATTTTAGAGACTGAGAGAGGAAATGAGGGCATGAATGCATCTGGCCCTGGGCTGGGAGCTGGCGGGGACAGCAGCCAGAGCTCCATTGACAAGAGGGCTCTTTAAGGGCCATTTAGTTGGCCTTTAACTCAATTAGTCCCCCAAGTGTTGTTTTTTATGCTTGCATTTATGTCCTTGATCTCACCAAGTGGAAATTGTGGTTCTGTCCAGGACAGTCTTGTTGCTCACCCAACGCAAGGACATGGACCCATGCATCTTTTTGAAGCCTCTTTCAATGATTTTATTCCCTATATTTATGCGTACATCTTAAAACTAAAGAAGGTTTGTGGCTTCAGAATCCCTAGACCTGGGATCTGCTAACTACTCAATGAGTGACCTTGCGAGATCAGGTCACATGCCTCAGACTTGGTTCCCGCATCTATAAAATAGGGTTGCTGTGAGAATTACAGATAGTAAATGATGCAAACCATTTAGCACAATGCTTGAGTACTCCATATCTAGACTATGGCTAGTCCTGTTGCTTCTATCCTCCAAACATCGTGTATCTAGAATTTAACCACTCTCATCACTCCTCAGCTAAAGCTTAAAGCCACCCTTGTCCCTCGGGTATTATAGTGAGTGACAGCGCCTATCTAAACTTTGTTTCTGGGGAGCCTGGTGGCTGAGTCAGTTAAGCATCTGCCTTCGGCTCAGGTCATGATCGCAGGGTCCTAGGATTGAGCCCTACGCCGGGCTCTCTGCTGAGAGCCTGCTTCTCCCTCTCCCTGCTGCATCCTCCTGCTAGTACTCTCTCTCTGTAAAATAAATAAATTAAATCTTAAAAAAAAACACAAAACTATTTCCACCCATTCCCTTCCTCCACTTTATTGTCAAAAAAAGACCAGAGTGAATCTTTTGAAATGCAAATTAGATAATAAGGAAACTCTCCTCAAAGCCCCCTAGTGGCTTCCCATCCACCCAAATCCAATGTCCTCACTGTTGCCTACAGAATCCTACAGGACCTGGCCCTTAGCCATCTCTGCAATGTCTTTCCCTCCCCCTCTCCTCTTGCTTTCTCTGTTCCGGCTACTTTGTCTTCTTTGCCACATCTCAGTCTGAGCAAGTTCCTGCCTCAGCCTCTTCACATTTATTTATTTATTTATTTATTTTTAAAGATTTTTATTTATTTGACAGAGACACAGTGAGAGAGGGAACACAAGCAGGAGTGGGGGAGGGAGAAGCAGGCTTCCGGCAGAGCAGGGAGCCTGATGGGGGTTGGGGGGGGCGGACTTGATCCCAGGACCCTGGGCCCAAGACTGATGCTTAACGACTGAGCCACCCACATGCCCCAGCCTCTTCACATTTAATGTTCCCTCTTCCTGGAAAAAAATTTCCTTCAGATTCACTGCCTGGTTCACTCCCTCACTTCCTTTGGGTTTGTGCTGAAATATTACCTTACCCATCCCCTTCCCAACCTCCTGTATATCAGTGTGTGATGCATCTATTAATTTCCTATTAATTCAAGCAACAGATGCTCTATCAATATTTAAGATGGTTAGTAAATTATAATAAAAAGAACAGCTTACATGCCATGAATTTTGCTTTCCCTGGTGGGTGGCAATCTATCTTCTTGGTATACTCTGTCGCCTGCAATAGATCTTAGCTCAGATGATGCCTCCAGCAAGAAATCTTCCTTGATCAGTCAGGGCAGAAGTGATTCTTCACTTCTCAGTGATCAATTTGTACCATTCCCTTTTGCCTTGCGTTGTCGTTTTTATAAGTATCTTCTCTTAAACATAATAAGACATCGGACATATCATGTACAACTTTATATAATGCAATATTTGTAGGACAACCTCTCTTGTAATCCACTTTAGATATTTAGGAAAAGTTACATACGCAAGTTACATATACATACATATTCAAGTTGTATAAATGAATTCACATTGATGAGTAAGTGTTATTTGGGATGGGTCATAGAGCCCAGAACCCAAAATCTCAGAGTTAGTATTTTCAAGGAAAAATTAGGTGGAGGAGAAAAATGAAAATATTAAACTACAAAAGTCAATTAAATGTATAATAAAAAAAAAGACTATATGAATATAAGGCTGAATTGTATGGAGCTATCTCCATGGGTCCACAGATCTATGTCATATAAATATGACAAACTGACATATTTATAAAGAGTTTTGGTAAGAAGGTCATTTCTTCTTACTTCTTTACAGTAATTCTATGTTTCTTATTTTCTCTATGCTTTTGTTTACTATGTCTTAGAAATATTAGTAACAAAATAATTTTCCTGTGCTATAGAGAAGAAAGACTTGTATATTGCAGTTCTTTTTGGACTATCATGGTAGTTCTATATTGATGTAATTTTTTGTGATCATGGTACTTTAAGTTTGATTGTCTTGTGTGGAAAAGCCTCAGGCACTGACCTAAGTCCTTTTTCACTTAATTCTTAAAACAGCCCTATGGGGCAGGTAGGTATTAGTTAATCACATCATGTTACTCTCATGTTTAAAAACCCTCTAATGGCTCCCCATTTCACTTACAGGAACCTCAAACTCTTACTGTCCTTATGGGACCCACCCGCCAGGACCCTGTCCATTTCTTCTACTCCGTCTCTTATCGACTCTTTCACCTTGCTTCACGCTATATGGCCTGGTCTCCATCTGTCCTTGAACATGCCTAAACAAGCTGCTTCCTGACTTGCCTTGCTGTTCCTTCTGCCTGGAATGCTGTAATCAGACCTTTCTGTGACTATCTCTTTGTCCTTATTAAGTTTCACCTTAAATTTTAGTTTCTCATTAGACTTTTGTTTTAAGAAAAAATAGCAACCAAAAACCCTTTGTATGGGGTTGTCAGATTTAGCAAGTAAAAAATACAAAACCCAGTTAAACTTGAATATCAGATAAGCAACAAATGGCATTTTAGTGTGTGGTGTACAAATTCTGGACATACCTATACTCAAAGAGTATCTGCAATTTAAACTTAACTGGATGTCCTGCAATTTATCTGGCAACCCTACCTCCAGAGCCACTCTGTTATGGTACCCTGTTTAATTTTCTTAACCAACTGAGCCACCCAGGCGCCCCTCCTGTTTAATTTTCTTCATGGGACTTTTCTTTTTAGAAATTCTGTTTACTGTTCGACTCTCCTATCGGAAGATGGGCTCCATGAGAGTGGGGCCCTGTCTGCCCTGTTCACAGCTTCATCCTCACAGCCTCTCATATTGCCTGACACATAGTAGGTGCTCAATAAATATTTGTTAAGTATTTGTTATAAAGATTTAAAAAAAAAAAAGACTAAAAAGCCAGGATGGTAAGATCTCGAGGGCATACTGTTAGCTAGAGGAGACTGGAATCAGACAGTATGGTGCCAAAGCCCAGGGAACTCTTCCGTGTTTTCCACATTTAATGGTGTGGAGGGCAGTGGACGAGGGAAGGGACACGGTGTCACCTGCTTTTCAAGAAGCACTCTTAGTAGAATCGGAAGACCCTTGGATCAGTAGATTTAGGGAGAAGCAAGGTCTGAACGAGGAAAACAAACCCTTTTCCATTTGCCTTGCAACGAAGCAAAGGAAGTAAATGCACTTGGATTTAAACAAGATTCTCTGCGTTTGGAATGGTGTGAGAGGTAGTGGACATCCTCCATATCCTCGTCCACCATAAACTCCCTGCAACTTTAGGGCTGGCTAATTTACGGTCAGACTCCGGAAACCTCTAGACCTGGATCACAAAAGGAACTACCGGTGTACATGCAAATAAAGAGCAAGGAGGCTGGATGGGATGAAGTCAAGACAGAAGAAATCAAACTCTCTTGTTGGATCCAGGACACGAAACGGGGCGGGAGCAGCAGTGTTCAGCCCCAGAATTCGGTCAGGTTCACCTTTCGGTATGGACGCTCTGTGCCCCACAGGACCCACCCAAGGCGCATAATCTTCTCTCTAGCTCACTTCATTGGACCAAGACACTAGCCGGCGCGCGCGTCCAGCCATCGGCCCAAAGAGAGCTACGTGGGGAGCTGTGGCCAGATCCTGGGGAGCAACCTGGCGCTGGTCCCTACCCATCTCCACCCGGCTCTCGCCTGCCCACCCTCCCACCCAGGAGCTGGAGGATGGTCCCGGGGTGCTCCCGCGGGGCTGCTGGTCGCGCCTGTCTTCAGCGCAATCCGCCCTGTTGTGTGAGTGGCGCGCGCGCCCAGTTGGGAGGCAGCCGCCCCCGCCGCTGACAGGTGCTGCCCTGAGGGCGCAGGGTGCGGTCCCTGGCGCAGCTGGACGCGCACGCTCGTGCGCTTGTAGCTTCTCCAGCCCAGAGCCCGCGAGGAGAGGGAGCCAGGGCGCGGCCTGGGGGACTCCAGGGGACTGGAGCTGCGGAGCTCGGAGCTAGAAACTTTGCGGGAGCGGCGGCCGGGATTCGGTGGCAGCGCCAGCCCACCCCGGCAGGTGCAGGAGGAAGAGGCGGCGCCGGAGTCCGGCGGCCGAAGAGCCTTGGAGGCGGCGGCGGCGGCTTTCCCCCGCGCTGTCCTGAAGCCGCCGGGCACTCCCGGCTTCTGCTGCTGCGTCCGTCGCCGCCGCCACCGCGGGGCTCCTGGAGGAGGTGCAGCCGGAGAGGGCGGAGGAGAAGAAGGAAGAGGAGGAGGTGGCGGAGGAGTGGAGAGGAGGAGCAGGGGGTGGAGGATGGAGCCCCGGGCAGCCGCGGCGGGGTCGCCCGAGCCTGCGGCGGCGTCCTCCTCCTTCCAGGCCCGGCTCTGGAAGAACCTGCAGCTGGGGGTGGGCAAGAGCAAGGGCAGCGGGGGCGGGCGCGCAGGGGCCCCAGAGCGCCGCACTGCGGACACCCCATCGCCCTCCCCGCCACTCCCGGGGGGCAGGCGGGACGCACTGGCCGGCGTGGGTGGCGCGGGCAGCAGGTGGAGCGGCTTCAAGAAGCGCAAGCAAGTGCTGGACCGCGTCTTCTCCTCCTCCCAGCCCAACCTGTGCTGCTCCTCGCCGGAGCCTCTCGAGCCCGGCGGCGCCGGCAGAACCGAGCAGGGGTCCACCCTGCGCCGCCGGATCCGTGAGCATTTGCTCCCCGCGGGAAAGGGGCCGGCGACGACCGCGGGAGCAGAGGGAGGGACGCCTCCTGGCGGACGCTCCCCGGACTCGGCTCCCTCTTCGTCCTCCGCCTCATCCTCCCTGTCCTCCTCGCCCCAGCCGCCCGTGAGGGGGGACCGCGCCCGAGATGAGGGTGCACGGCGTCGGGGCCCCGAGGCGCACTTGTGCCATCAAAAGAGTTCATCCCTGCCGGGCACTGCCTGCCTGGAGCAGCTGCTGGACCCGCCGCCGCCTCCCGCGGAGCCACCTCAGAGCCCGGTGCAGCCGCGGACCCCGGAGAAGGGCGAGGAGCTCGGCAGCAGCCAGGTGAGCGACCGGTGCGCGCGGCGGGAGACTGGGTGCGCGGGACACGCCTCCGGCTTCGGGCGGTCGCTACCCGGGGAGACGCGGGGGGAGTGGAGGTGCTACCAAGTAAATCAAATAGTGAAAAGAAAACAGTCCCGGTCCTGCTCAGTAAAGATACAGTTCTGACTTGCACCCTGACGTTACTTTTGGTAGAAATAACCCCTACTACCAGAAGCTCTTTGGGTAGCTCTATGCGTTGCCAATGAAAATGGAGCTATTAATAGTAGCCAAATGAGAGAGGAATAAAGTTAGACATAAGATGGGTACTTTTTGGGGGGGTCTCCTAGAAGGGCTGCCTTAGGTAAGTCTCACCTCTAAAGAAAAACAAATCCAGCAACTTAAAAAAAAAAAAATTACAGCCATGTATGAGGGTGCGGAGGGGCCACCATTGGAAACAACTAGAAACAAATGGCTTGCGGGAAGGAACAGTGATGCGGGGAGGTGAATCGTTGGTAAACGTGAGGCCGTTTATTGGGGAAACCCTTAAAGCAGAAGTCTGCTTGTTTTCTCGCACTCCCTTCTTCAAAGTTCCGGCGGCAAGTCGATCGCTGCCCAACAAGTGGACTGCGTGAGCGTCTCAGCCGAGTTCGTCAGACTCGCTCCTATGGCCTTTTCCAAGTTTCAGTAGTCATCTGAAGCGGTTGCGTCTCAAGTATGCTGCTTTATGTACATCGTGTTGCCTCTTTGTTCAGGCAAGAGTTAAGTTTGGTCCGACGAGAGTCAAGTAAAAATGAACTTGTAGGATTCTTAAGGCGTTCCACGGAGCAGCTGCTTTTACTCCCTCGGTTTTGGAGAGGAGTTGCGCTCCTTTTGTTAATACTTAAAAATTGTGTTAATGCTAGCAAGTATTTTGAAAGTTCCAGTCTGTCAGTGACCTCAAAGAACTCTTTTCCTCCAATACATCTTAGCTTATTTAAATTCTCATTATTTTGACTCTAATTAGTCTTTAATTAATTTAAAGGTTAATCTTTAATTAGATTAAAATTTGAGCTACATAACCTTAAGGCCATGTTTTGAACAGCAAGATACAGGAATAGATGGCCTCTCAATTGAAAATTTTTGTCGTTTGTTAGCTAATTACTGTGGTTTCAGAAAACAAGCCAGAATACAGGTGGGTAACCTGATGTTACTGATGCTCTAGAAGACACCTGATGTTCTAGAAAAAGTTCCTATTCGGAGAAGAGTAGGTAGAGATAACATTGACAAAGAGTCTAAACTCTACTTTTCCTTTTATCTTGAAAGGTAACTGAATAGAACTCCTGTTTCTGGCTTCAAAAGTAAAAAGTGTTTTTAAAAGGATGTTTTAAATTCAGTGTAGAGGAATGCTATATATTTTAATAGAATTTACTTTTGAATGTGTACATAAATCTAAGGTATAAGAACTTCAGAGTTGGGGTACTGTTTACATTTGTTTTTATTAACTTCTATGATCAGGAATAATACAACAACCAATAATTGAATTATTCTGAAGGTAGATATATTACTTAACCCCCCAAATTCTTTGCAGTTCATCGAACCAAGATTCTCAAAGCAAAAGCAGAGAATTCTGAATGAATCTTTGTTAGTTTTTACCAAAAAGTTTTCTGACACTATCAAGCTTTAAAAAATACTGCCATGTAATTATGAATTTTGGAGAGCACATTACACTACCATTGTGTGTGCCCTCACCATATGCCTTACAGCCTTACTGGATTAGAGCCTCCCAGCACCCCTACAGGACAGAAGTTCTTGTTGCCATTTTATGGATTAGGAGACTGATGCTCAAAGACATTAAATAACCTTTCCAGGGTCACATGGTTAATAAATGACCAAGGTTTTACACTAAAATTCTCCAGAGTCTTTTTACATTACTATAACCCTTTGACAACTTTTAGAGCTTGTGTGTTTCTGAGATGACTTCAGTCCTAAGATTAATGCTTGCAAGTTTACATACATTCTGGGGGGTTTCCCCCTTCCTAGAATCAGTTCCATGATGTATTAGCTATATTAATTTGTTCTTTTCTCTGTGATACATTATTTCATAACTATGACATCACATTTACAAGTGACATTATTAATTATACCATCTAAAGAAGCTTTTCCTTATAAGGAACCAGCATTTCAACAAAGACATAAAAGGAATAACAAAGCTAAAACGCCTTTCAAAGAATAGGTGAAAAGTGGGGTGTAGGCAGAACAGTAGCCCCAAGGGGCTTGTTTGAGGCCACAAACAGTCCTAGGAAGAGGCACCATTGCTGGTTTCCTGCATCTGCTTGCTGCTCATGGAGTCTGTTCCTTGAGAAGTGGACAGCCTTCTGTTAGGAGTCACAAATCTGGCTTTGAGCAGCACTCTCTCACCAGTGCAGAAGCAGGATTCCTTGGTCCTCCCATGGCCCCTCTGCCCAATTCCTAGAGCCCGGCTGGCTCACCTTGTGATGAAGAAGAGGAAGAAATAGAGTTGGAAGCTGGAAGTAGAAGAGGACTCCCTGAGGTGTCCAGGAGTAGGTTGAGCTTCATGCACCCTTGCAAGCTTCCTGCATCACTCAGAGATCTTTCCTTGCTCCCCCAGGCCCTGGCCTCACAACATACTTGGGCTGGGGTAGGGAGAGTGTAGCATGTGCAGATCCCTGTGTTGTACACCAAGCCAAATAGGTACACATGAAAGCAAAGGCAATAAGAGCACTGAATACATCTCCAGATTGCCTAGATAAAAAGAACTTTCAAAGAAGAAAGAAAATTCATTGCAAAAATAATGCAAATGTCTCAGTTTTTCTCTGCTTGATCCTGGCATTAGCCCTGTTCTCCAACACCTCCCTACCTCTCCATTTCCCCCCTGCAGCTCAGCATGAGGCCACAACAACATATGTGCATAAACTCTGACTCTGGGTGGAGGTGTTAAGCAAAAGCAAGAAAACAAAACAAAACAAAAAATAAAAAAACAACTACATCAGTTTGAACTGCTGGGGGAAAGGGATTTGGAAATCACTGAACTACAATGATTAACACTGAGCAAACCATGCTGCCTCCCATCTCCCTCTTGCTACTCTGTGGTCTTCAGTCCGATATACCTCTGAAAGGCACTTTAACAGAGTTAATAATGCCTTGTTGTTAGGGCATGTACATTATTTAAAATGTTCTGCTTTGAGAAAAAGAAAAAAAAAACACATTTCTTCCCACTGATTCTAGTTCACGTGCTTGGCCATATTGTCATACCAGATGCATTTCATTTTCTGCAACACAGTTGGGAAAGATGCTTTCTGAATTTGTGTGCATATCAAAAATATGCCAATTTTATGTATTCTGTCTTGATGAGTTACTAAAATTATATTTTGCTAGAATCAGGAAGCCAGTATTTTAAGATAAAGAGTGAAGAATGAATATGTCCCATTTTTTTAGGGCTTTAACAAAAATGTGAAGTTTATGAATGTTAAACTTTTATTGTTTTTTCTTTTAAATTCATGTTGTTAAAACTGCTTCCATAGGGAAGCAAAAAAATTTTTGTAAAAAACGTGGCTACATTATTCAGGGTATGATAGAAATGTTTCAAAACATAGTAAGAGGAATATTCATTCATTGGGATAAAATTCCTAAGATACATCTGTAAGCTCCAACAAAAAGTAGAAAAATATTTTCTAAGATGAAGTCTATACATGAAGTGCAGCTTGGTTCATTAATTATCTGACCTTTTAGAGAAAGCTTATGTTTTCAAAAATGACTTAAAAATGTGATTTGGGTTAATTTTTGCTATTTCCCAGGTGTCCTTAATATTACTTGAAAGGACATAACTTAATCTTGGGGAAGACACAAATGTAAAGAAATGTAATTCCTAATATGAATGGCTTAAAATCACCAAAAAACAAACACTCTCAAAAACAAGCCCTAAAAGCAATGTTAATAACTTTTTCCAAGCTTTTTCAAAGTGAGAGAGGAAGGATGAGATCTTAGGACATTTTGGAACAGGGCATGAAGTTTGATGTGTGATAGCATTCTAAAAAATACTGGGATCATCAGCTTATTGCAGAGGAAGAGAGTAAACAGTGACAGGCTTACTTTGGAGTGGAATTATTTTCCTATGACTTTTATGTTCTATCCTGTGTATCTGGCAGATTTGAGTACAGCTATGCATCTTGGGTATATGGAAATGTTATCAAGTAAATATTATGGGAGCTCAATAAGCCCTAGCAATTGCTAGTGTATTATAGTATAACTGTATTAAAGTTTTGCCACTGCCAAAATTACAAATAAGCGCGTAGCTGAAAAAAAATTAATGGGAACTTTGCTGGTCCTCCTCATTTAAGATGTAAATGATTTTACTTGCATGGGTGGCAAAAGTAGCCTCAGATTAACCAAGGTGGTACTGATGACAGTATAATTTCACAGAGTAATGAAAAACCTTATATTACTTTTGGCAAGTGTGGGCACATTATTCTGGAAAAGTGAAATAAATACTTAGAGAAAATAGGATTACTAGATTCATAAAGATAATAGGATAAGCACTCTCCCTTTTTTCTTTTGCCCCGTCGTTTGGAAATAAGGGATGATTTCACAAAATTAAAGGTTAATAATATATCTTTTGTAACTCAGAAACGTAGTGTGGTTTCTTGGCTCGTGATGGTTATCAAAATGTTGGTCAACTCTAGACTGACGAAGAGTAAATAGTCTGATAATTTTGTAAGCATTGACAAAATCTGCATATTCTGAAGTTAGGTCGTGTGTTTTCTTGTTAATTCATACCATTTGCAGTGTCATAGTCCTATGTTTTAGACAAACAGAAATGACGTTTTTGAATCCTGAAACGTTTTGGTTTGACTTCTTTTTTTTTTTTCCTGGAAAACTCACGAAACATGATATATTTCCTTGCCTCAATAAGCCAAGAGTCCTAAATAAACCTGCTCTTGGTAACTGAGGCTTATTGTTTGAAAACTGGCTTTTTTGTTTGTTTAATGTGAGTGAAGTAAATATTGTGCTAGAACTTGCTTTAG